TTCAGGTCAAACTCCGAGCACCGTGCGACAGGCGCCCTGTCGGGGTTCTGGGAACTGTGGGGGAGACGGCATGCTCTGTGGGCTTTCTCGTGGAGCTCGGTGAAGAGGCCGAGATCCCAGCTGGTGCGGACAAGGCACGGCTGACGGGTGTCACATGCTGTCACTGAGAAGGCCCTGTCCAGGGGTCAGGCCGCGGGCATGTGGGCGCCCACACTGGCCCCAGAGCGAGGAGCCAGGTGGGATCTGGGGGTGCGGTCCCAAAGCAGGCAATTCATGGTCTCTGCTCCCAGACCTTGTTCTCCCGCCCCACCCCGACCCCCAGCCCCTGGACACCTCATCAGGTACTGCCCTGCCTCCCAGACCCACTGACACTCTCTTCATCAAAAGCTGCTCTCAGAGCAGACCTGCCGAGGCCAGCATGACCGAGTCCACCCATCGACCCATCGCATTCTCCCAAGAGGCAGCTGCATCATTGACAGGACGGCACCCTAGGGCGCGGAGGGAATGCTCAAAGGGGCTCTGGGTGTCCTGAGCCAGAGGGGACAGGACCACCTTAACCGAGTTGTAGAAGAATCTCTTTCCTGCCCGAGTCCCCAGGGAAGGAGGTGCTCCCGGCTCCGCAGTCTCGGAGGCACCGGGGACACACTATCCGGTGGAAAGTTCATTAAGTATTTACCCAGGACGCAGCTGCCTGCTGCTGCTCAGGGCTGGGTCACGTGGCTCAGGAAGAGGTGAGGTCGGACCAGAGGCGTTTCTGAGGGCCCAGGCAGTGGCTTCTCTGCCTCAGGTGAGGGTGCTGTGGGTGTGGGGGGTGCCGTGGGTGTGGGGGGTGCCGTGGGCAGGGAGGTGGTGCTTCGGATGGGAAGGGGGTGCTGCGGGCAAGGAGGGGGTGCTGCAGGTGGGGAGGGGTTGCCCTGGGCCTGGGGGGGGGGTTGCTGCGTGCATGGCTGGGGGGCCCAGAAGGACAGAAAGAAGGGCTCCAGTGAGTGGTGGTGCCACCGGGCAAGGCACTCAGTGGGTAGGAGAGAAGGGTTTCCTAACTCCAGAGGTTGGGGGTCCGGAAGGGAGAAAGAAGGGTGGACACATGACATGTCTATCCCTGATGGGGACCCTGGAGGCCTGGCTTCCTGTCTGCTCACCTGTGGGAGGTGTGAGCCCTGGGGGGTCCCCCATGTCAACCTCACAGCCTCACACTGAGGTCTGTCCTGGGGAGGCCACGGAGAAAGGCCCTGGGGGGCCTTGAGGCCCTGAGGGTGTGTCTCCCCGCCTGAAGCTCACAGGGCAGCTGAAGGGGGAGGGGAGGGGGTAACCTGGGAGCCGGGGGGCGGGGCAGGC